TTTTGCAAAATAATGTCAATAAAAATGATACTGCCATAGATTAGTATTGCATTAATGTATATCAATTTAATAAATGCTGAAATTATGTCAAATAAATTATCTATAAACGATTAAAAATTGACATTTTATAATAAAACCATATGCACATAGTAATTGCAGGTAAGAGTTATCTTTCTTGAAAAACTTCACAGTAGTGAAATAGGTAGCCGGTTTCCTGAAGTACAGAAAAATGGATACATGTGGCTCATTGATAAAAAAAACCTGAATTAATGCCTGCATTGCTTTGAAATACTTTAATATTGAGACAAAACACTGTTCTGTCAATAATAAACATACAATATTCATCAGTTTAATATTAAACATTAGAATATGCGGAAATTGTGATACTGTCTCCCTACATTGGATTTTCAATTAGGGATGTACTTCCTACTTCCGTTTATCAATACACTCCTATGACCTTAAATTGAACTTACCCACTACGCAATTTTTCTTTTAACTGTTAATGCGCATATCGGAAGTTGATTGCTAGGCCTAAACTACAACAGGTGCTCGATCCGAATGTCATTCCGGATTTGTTAATATATGAACGAGTTATCCCCCCTCAACTTAAGTACATAGTTCAAAGCATCTGCAGAAAATACGATCTAGTGTGCAAATGTCCTATGCACAGTTTCTTAAATCATATGTTGATCAGTTAAAAACAAATTGAGGACAAATTGGGATATTGCTTAATGTCAGTAATGGTGTTTTTTTTTACTTTGTTGGGCAAAGGTCCATGTTCCAGCTTGATATTAAAAAAAAATGCAATATAAGCTCAATTATCCCAATAGCAACATGCTCTACACATCATTTAATAATAAAGAATCTGTCTTTGAATGACATTCACATATTGACAACAACTAGTGTCTCATGTCTTTCATTTAGTATCATAAGGCCCTTTCTGATAAAAAATGAAAAACACTAAGAAAGTGAAAGACTGATTTTTTTCTCTCAATTATTGAACTCTGTTGGCTGATATTTCACACTATTTTGTAATCTTTACCAGCTATTTTGTGATTCAGTTGCCCTTCTCTTCAATTAAGATGTTCATAAACAATGACTGCATTAGCATCAGTTATATTATATATATTTAATAATTCAACCAATTTGTTGAGGAATTTTGCAGAATTCAGAATACCTTTACAATGATTTGTGTTTAATTCCAAATAAGAACCTACACTAGGCACAACATTCATGAGCACAATCATATAATCAACATTAAGATTTAATACAGCAAGGGCAGTTACCAGCGCATGTTATCTCCCTTTTTATAATGGATGCTGACTAACCAGTATGACAGTTGTTAGATAATTCCACTGAAAACGCAAGTTCTTTATGAACAGCTTTATTATATAAATACAAATGCATGTCTTTATTCTCTTCCAGCTAAATATACAAAATATGACACAATCAAATTTTGCTAAAGGGTTAAATAAAGGAGAAAAGCCTGTCAGAGTTAATTATATACAGTACTGTGGAGAGAGGTGTTTGGACTGTTTACCTCGAACAAGGAAAATGGTAAAGATGTTTGTGGTTAGGCTGGTAAAAAAATCTGGAAGATCAACACCAATTGGAGAGAATGGACCCTCTGAAAAATGAATGAGGAAATTCTTAAAAAGACATCCAAATTTGAAAATGAGGAAACCACAGACTATCGATGGTGGTCAAGTGCGGATGGCAAATCAGATAGTGATGCGACAATAGTTTTCTTTGCTCAAAGACATCAATCCTTTTCCTTTCTGAAAGTAAATGAAACAATAATTACATTTAAATATGGTTATTACTTCTAAATTAAACTGTATTAACTGAAATTATCAAAAGGCTTAAAATAAAAAATAAAAATCTTTTACTTTTCTTTTGATATTCAGCAGTTATACAAAAATGAGTACTTTTTGCATATATCAGGGTTTAGGTAATATAGTAATAATGTGTAATAATCTGAATAACTATGAATTTATTTCAGGCATTGAAGACAAATCTCGCCTTATTTACAAAAAAGGAAAAGGTACAGTTACCCAGGACAGGGTATGCGTTACGAATGGAGGTGCTTACACCAGACAGGTGACAACAAGCAACCATATATACCACTGCTATTGTATGCGTGTCAGCTGACGGGAAGGTGCTTCCATCTTTCGTAAAATACGAAAAATCATTTCCAGGTGGAACTTATAGAGACGGTAAGATACATGGGAAATACATATGACTTAAGTTATTTTTCAAATGTGACATAACAAAATATAACCTCACAATCAATAAATATGCTTTAGGGCATTTATAGATAAGAAAATTTGTTTTTCTCAACTTCAATTTTTATTTAAAAGAACCACATTTTGCTTAGCATTACCAAAAATGATTATTATCATGTCTTTGTAATCAGGCATACCTGAGGAATGGTTATTTGGCACATCGCCCAATGGGTGCATGGATTCAGATTTATTCTTGAAATGGTTTGAACGCATTTTCCTACCATATGCATCCAAGCAGCGACCTCTCCTCCTAATCATGGACAACCATGAGAGTCACCTCTCCCTTGAAGTGGTGGAAAAGACTAGGGAAAACAGAGTGGAGCTTATGTGTTTGCACCCACACACAACCCACATTCTTCAGCCTCTTGATGTGGCCTTATTTAGACCCTTAAAAAAGACGGTGTCTGATTTGGCAGTCAGTTTGGGTTATGCCAACCCAAATTTGATAACTGGAAAGGGCAGGTAATCTAAAAAGGGCAGGTAATCTAAAAAGGGCAGGTAATCTAAAAAGGCAGTAATCTAAAAAGGGCAGGTAATCTAAAAAGAAGGGAATGAAAATGCACATGTTACATCTGTTGTGCAAGTTAAAATAAATTAACCAATACAATCAATCAATAACAGGTCAATTTAACTATCTGATAAGCTTATTACCATTAACAAATATATGCTACTTATTTAGTTCTTGGAAAAGACACCAGTCTATCACTACATTGCTTCCTTAAGTATGTTGGACTAAAAATTTCAAATAAAAATTTCATAGCAGTAACCAATATTCGCTGCACATGTACATTTACCTGAAATTGTTCTGTTTGTACAGCGTAGGACAAAGTTTTCGGTCCATTTAACATTAATACAGCCTTCCGAAAATGTGGCATTGTACCACTGAATGCTGATGCCAATGACAAATCCAAATTGACTCCCGCAGACAAGGATTTCACTTATCCAAAGCCTGGACCAGGTGGGGACAATCTGCAATTAAATCCATTGTGCGACACATGTGGTCATTTTGTTCGAGGACATCCCTTGGTCACACAAGGACTCATTCCAAACGATCTGGCAGAAATCTTTGTTCCAATTATTGGCCCTGCAATGAAAGAAAAAAAACACAAGGATTGTGACAGAGTCCAGAGTTATTACAGGTACATTGACAACACAAATTATCTACAGCCTATTAATATAAGTTATGCTCCAGTTAAAGCCTTAAAAAACTGATAATTCTTCTAATTATTTAATAGAAGTTATCTGTTTTTTTTTTTTTTTTTAAAGCCAAAAGTTGTATAACTCTATAATGAACACAGGGGAAAATTATTTATTTAGTAATATTTTCAATTAACAGGAAGTGAAATAGATGCCCAATTAAGAGAGAAAGAGATGACCAAACACACAGCGCAGAAGAAAAGGGCCAGAAAAAAAAAACATAAAAAAGGACAACAGTAAGCAAAATATGTAACTATTTGGGTGTGGAAGACATGATTAATATAATTCATTTTAATATTAAGTACGAAAATGGTATTATCAATCAGGACCAACACGGCATGAATATTTAAATTTTCAAATTATACAAATGAGATGCAGATTCGTAAAATAAGACCAAGGCCACCTTAAGCTTTTCCATAAGAAAAAATAATTTTATCCGTTTGTCTCTGTGTGATGACAGGTACGCCATGAAGCTGATGATGTTGAAGCTATAGACACACTGCCAACACTAAGTTGCCCAAAGATAAGAAGACAGACTAAAACGAGTGAAAGGAAGAAAAAGGTTAATAAGTTTATATATCTGTACATATATCAAGAAAAAAATATGGAAGCTGAAATAATGGCAAAAGAGAATTCTGTTTGTGTACCTTCAGGATAATCCCTGTATTTTAAACCTACAAATGACAGTAAAATAGCCCAAATTTTCAGTGACTATGAATTATATATAGTTTTATTGGAGAATCTCATACAACTTATAATTAGCAGCTAATCAACATGTGCTGTTTGATTAATGAATATTGAAAATGTTTAGTTTTATGTTTGTCATCTTATGAAATCAAAAAGAGTTTGTATTGTAGACAGCTTGATTGTTGTACTTAGCTGAAATGTACTAGAATTGAAAACCTCTAACAAAACATTGCACTCAAGCAAACAATTTAGAACCTTAATTGTTTCTCTGAAAAAAACAGTATTTATACCTGCATCAGAGGACACACCAATGATGAGGATGAAGGGATCCTTTGGGTGGGACACACCAATGATGAGGATGAAGGGATCCTTTGGGTGGGATGCGATAACACACTATGCGGTCTCTGTTAGCATCGTCATTGTCTTGTGTCACAAAATCAAACTGATGTCTATTTGAGTCTTATAGCTTACTCAGACTGGTTCTGTCAATTTTGTTGTCTAAATGTGGACAAACAACTCCAATCAGAGAGCCAAGATCATCGAATATCAATGACGATGATACTAATACTGTACCCATTCAGCAAGATAACCCGGAGTGTGACAATGAAAATTGCGAAATCTCCAACGACATGTTGATTTGCCAAGTATGCATGGCCCACCAAATTGTTTCGCCAATCGAAACAGAGCTATATTGGGCAATAGGTCATTACTGTACCAAATCCTATCATGCAACGTGTCTTCCTCCCAGAAGATACCGGGCCTTTGAATTGAGGAAGGCAGCAGGCTCGCCATGGTGTTGTCAGATGTGCCATGCACTGTAAAATCGATCTATCATGATACATACCTTTCAAACAATACAGTCATAATTTAATATGTGAATCTGATATTTCAATTATGAAATAAACATTCTTTTCAAATTATATTTTGATTAAGTGTGCCAGATTCCTATGTTTTCCATTCGTGTTCTTGCAATATCATTCTTCAACTTGAACTCAAATTGACTTGTAATGTAGTATCCAGCAAAAGACAGGGTTAATCTGTGTAGAATTTATACGGAATACATGTTGAGAGCTTCATTATATTTATTTGGATAATGAAAGTATGTATGATATAAGCTAAATATATATGAAATGGAAGAATATGTACATGTATGATGAATGTTATTTCTGAACAAATTACTGCGATTCCAATGTTTGATTCATACCTCAATAAGTGGAGTAGAGTGCATTATAATTTAATGATATTTTAAACTGATTTAGATTAATTTTATACATTTAAACAAAATATGATTATTAAATTGCAGACATAGTAAAAGTCTACTGCATGTAAATAATAATTACAAATTCAATGTGTTCTTGGTTTTTTTTTCTCCGACCCACAATTTTATACTTTCTACATTTTAGGGCACCTGCTACGGATAAGAGTGCAAAACAACCCCGCCAAAACAAACAAACAGTATCAAACATTTTACATCACAGTCACAATTTGCTATTTGACTATAGTCAAACAGCAAACCTATTAATTATCGCAATAAGAATTAAATAAAAAATCTGTTAAAAACAGCAAATGGTTAGCAGGTGCTCGTTATAGAACATTAGATGTTTTATAGGCAAATCATTAATTACAATATGTCCTTACAAGCTATGTACTCGTCGTCTTTTCTAAATGAACATTGCTATAATAGTTGTAACTTTTGCATTATACTAATAAAAATAAAATGAGACCGTGAACGGTCGCTGTAACGGTAAAAAAAATTCCACGAAAGCACGCCGGGTGACAATTACAAAAATGGCGGTACATTTCTTTTTGTCAATATTTGTCTTATTTGAAATGCGAAAATTTTACATAACAACAGTTAATTTCAAACTGAAACGGTGCAGCAAGTGTAAAAACATACTATACCTTTAAAATCCAAGCATTTTAAGAAGTTTCCGAGGAGTTAACTGGAATTTTTAGCGAAATTATTTCTCTGTACCAAATGGGGTCTGATCGCCAAACCAAAACCGGGAAAAAAATATTGTTGTTCACGAGCAACCCAAAGGCAGTCTTTGTAAAAAATCAACAAATGTCGAATGTATGTTATTTGATATTGATAAAATCGTATAAAATATACAAAAAATGTACCAAATGGGATACAGTGACGTCCACTTCTCTGTACCCCACAACAAGAAGCACTGAGGTTCAATGAGCAGATAATCGGTAAATAGACGAATGGTGGTTCAATCCCACCGTCGTCTTATATATGACTGCATGTGATATTTGCAACTGTCGACTGATTTATGAATATAGTCCAGTGTTGACTGGCATGACCGGAATGTATACTCCTGACCATGCAGGTCTTGTAGGTAGAGTGTTAACTACACCCAAATTAACATCATTAACTAGCGCTTTCACAGCATTCGCTTTTTGCTTTGCAATATAGTATGCTGGATTGTCAAGACTCCTTGCATTAAAGTCACCAGCTATAAGGATGTTCCATCGTAGTACGGTAGCAAGTCATGCATAACTTCTGTAAGATTTCACAGTATTCTTGTACAGCATTATCTCTTTGCATGTAGACGCCAAATGTATATAGACTGTCTAACGTTATACCATTGACTTCAATAGCTACTATACGTTCATCGGTTACGTTGTCCAGGTTTCGTACGCTATATTGCAGCGTCTATTTGATTAGGAGGGCCACTCCTGTCCCATCGTTTCATTATCATTAGCACATATTGCATATAATTGTTATCTATAGTATTCATATATTCATGAGACTTATAGCAAAACGTATGGTCTGTGATTTCCATAACATCACAATCAGTTTCGCGGAGTATTTAAATCAATCACTTGCTTGAAGAGAATATTCCTCTGACATTCCATGTCAATGACAGTTAATACCATTATGCTCGCGAGAAACATTATCTTCGACATACGGGATACCTTAATATAGTGCGAAAGACTCGACGGTTGTACTTTAATGAAGTTGTCACGCGCATCGTTGTAGTTCTAGGAAGTTTCGTTTTTCCTGCTGTATCTGGTTTAGTAATCATCATTTGCATCGTCCCAAGACTCCGTGTTACGCGTGCTATCATTACGGTCAACCGGCGTCCTCCATCTGGATATATCGGTTCAGGTAGTAACTTCGTGGTCTTTACCTTCGAAATAACAATAGTCATAGGTAACAGGGTTGTCCACACGTGTAAGCCATACAAAGGTAAGGTCAGGTAAAAGTAAAGACCAAAGATTTCAAAGACTTTATTTTTCACCCAGACACACATATGTGTGTTACAAGAGGTCACATATAAGCAACCAATTTTATACATGGGCGTAGTACACAAAAAATAAACAATTTCACATAAAGTATAAATCTAATCTATATTTTTTTCCAAGTGTTTCTACAAACCTATTAATACGAGATAGAACACAAACATTACACATAGAAATGAGACCTTTCATGTTTGTCAGACTAGGATATGTTCAGTAATAATTTGGAATGAGTAATTGTCGAATTCGGCGTTCTGATTCATGATTACAAATAAATAAATAATGAAACTCGTCGCAAATACCATCAGAACACAAAGGACAAATTCGATCATGACGAGGTATATATACTGTAACAGCCTATCGTACCGTTTCTATGGGCAAATGCAAATTTGATATACAAAAATTTACAATATGTTTTGCTGACTCTTTTATTAAAGTTAAGAAAATAGTGTTCAATTTGAAATTTAGATTTAAACATTGAGCATATTTGTCCTCTAGATGACACATCTATATCGTTAAACCATTCCTGAATAAATTGCTCCAGTAGTCTTTGTTCATAAACAACTTTTAGATTATCTTTACTTGATGTACATGTGTCCTGTAGATTCTACACAAAGTTTAAACCAGTATCGGAAAATATAGCTTTCACATTATTCATCCAGTTAAAACACATGTTTCCATTTTTATGCAAATTGTATACTTATTAGAAGATATTAAGTTATACCTAAATAGTCCTTCTACATTTAATCTTAATACTTAACGGATATCTACCTAGTTCAAAATAGACCATGCAATCCGGCGTACATCTCAAATTTAAAATACGTTTACAAAATTGCAATTGAATTTTCTCAATAACATTCGTATTTTCGAAACCCCATATTTAAACTGAATATAAAAGTATAGGTTGTACAAGAAAATAAAAAAAAAAAACAAGCAAATTCGTGGAATTTATATCCCCCACTTGCAGGACATTGTAGGTTAACTTTATTGAGGTTAGGTTTAAACATGTGAGTATCGTGCTGTTGAGACATAATGTAAAGCTTAAAACTTGAAGAAGAAAACAAAAGCCCTATACCTCATTGATTATCCGTAAATATGCACAAATCACATCAGTTGGCAAACTTAGCATGAGTCGGATGTGCATACGGAATATGGTTGAAACATATGAACAGTATCTACAGCAATTATCACACGAAAACCAAAGAGTGCCCGAGATGGGTGTAAAGACAGAGGAACATAAACATTAATATCAAGTTTGGAGGAATTTGGCTTATATTTGCTAGAGTTATTACCGGTAAGCAGAAACTGCAGATAATGACGTTTTTTCGTTAATCAAGGGGCCATGACTCTGCCTAATTGGGGTCCGCTGAAAGTGGCCATCGAATTTGGCCGAGCCCTTAAGGCATTTAACCCTGTGACCAAGTTTGAAAAAATCGGTTAACTTTTGTTGTAGTTATTGCACGGACACGAAGTGCGGCAGTTAATGACATTTTTTGTTATACAAGGGACCATAACTCCGCCAAATGGGGTCCGCTGAATGTGGTCATCGAACTTGGCCGAGCCCTTAAGGCATTTAACCCTGTGACCAAGTTTGACGAAAATCGGTTAACATTTGTTGTAATTATTGCATGGAAACGAAGCGAGACAGACAGACAGACAGACAGACAGTCAGACGGACAAACCCAAATTAATATCCCCCGTTTCGGTGTAAGCGGGGGATAGTTAAATGTAAGTCGATTGGTAATAAAATGTTCCTAATCTTTTTTATAAACGGCAAACAAAGCTTTTTCGATTGTTCTGCTAGTTTACGTTTTGCTTTGACAAAAGTGCCGTTATAGTTAAATGCAACTCCAGCGTATGTACACGATTTTAATAATTCCAGTTCTTCGGTACATAGTGAAAAGTGAACCTGTGCATTAAACTTTTGTTTTAAAAATATGTCAATTTTAGTTTTTTCAGTGTTAACCGCGAGTTTCCATTCGTGACAATATATTTCAAACATGTTTGAATGCAGATTGTCTCCTTTATCTTTATACAAAGGTTTTATAACATCTATTTTCCAGGACACCGGGATACGTCCAGTATTTAGAACAATATTAAACAATTTGTGATCAACATGTATAAATAAACCTCAAGTGGGTTTCATATATTCATTGATAATTCCATCAACACCACTTGCATTTTTATTATTCAGGCCTTTTACCGACTGTTTAATTTCATCTAAAGAAATTTCATCATTAAAAATATCATCTAACATTCCATCATTGATGTCATCAATATCAAACTTTCCTCATTACCCCCCTTGTTGAGATTTTGGAAATAATCGTATAAGTTGTCAAGTTTTAATAACATCATTTTGCTTTTTAGTAATTCCGTCAAATTTATTTAATATTTTCTAGAATGTTTTCGGATCAGCCTTGGCTGTTCGTCTTATTTCACTCTGCTTCTTTTCTTGGAAATTTATAAACTGTCTATCTAACCTATTTCTATCTGTTTTACTTGCATTTTTGAGAGCTATTTTGTTTGGTTAATTCTTAAAGTCGACATAATTACGTTTAGCTACGTGGAATTCTTTTCTTTTTTAATGACAATCTTTTATAAACCAAGGTTTATAATTATTTGGCTTAAATTATTTTGTTACCTTATTTGTACCGAAGAAAGTTTTTGCTGATATTTTAAAAAGTTCATTTTGTGCTGGCTCGAGTCATAATTAACAGTATTAGACGATTAAAATTTGATTTTGTACCTTTAACTTTGTATTATAGATTAAATAACCTCATGGTAATGTCATTGTGTAAAAGTAAAAATGTCTATATAAACTGACATTATAAAGGATTCTGGTGCGATGTGTACGTAGGTGTTTTGGAGTTATCGCCCTTTAGTGGATTACTGCAAAGCCAAATATTGTGATTTAGAGTTATTCCCCTTAAGGATGTACACCTCTGAGTAGTCAAAAATTTCCTGTATTAAACT